AGGGAATCTAAAACAAAATACGAGTCAGGTCATGGTATGTCATGCATGTCATGTCGTGTCGTGTCGTGTCGTGTCGTGTCGTGTCGTGTCGTGTCGTGTCGTGTCATGTCATGTCATGTCATGTCATGTCATGTCATGTCATGTCATGTCATGTCATGTCATGTCATGTCATGTCATGTCATGTTAAACCATGTGACGTCATGCGTAATACTGAGTTGGCTCAGTTGGTAAAAAGGCTTGCTCATCATATGAATTGCAAATAAAGTTTAGTTTTAAAGATATAAGTCTACACACAACTTGCCTGCAAAACCTTGCAACACTCCTGCAAGATTCAGCACTGATTTATCCATACAAATTTGCTTGCAGAATGCCATAATCGCAAAGAATGCAGCAATACCAAGCAACACTATTGCAATTCCTAAAAACACGATACAGGCTTGCCATGCCTTAGAGTCAATCTTCATAAAACTTGTTGCATAAATTCCGCAATTTGGTTCTAACTTTTGGCTAACAAGATTGTTTACATGTGTACAACGATTGTAGATTCCCACTGATTGTCGATACGTTGTATTACCGTACAGTTTACTGCGTTCGACCTTTCCTATCAGCCATTTTGGAGTTGCTATGGCAGCAAATACTAGCATGAGTGTGCCGATTGATATTAGCGTGTACATGAGACTCCGGCAGGTCACCACGATAAACCACATCTTGTCGAGGTTTAGGCCGGTTTTTTACTCATCCAGAATTTCAAATACTGTACTAGACACCACTGGAGAAAACTTTGGCTTTAGCCTAGACGACACAAACTCCGTTCGGTGAGAAAGGCCTAAAAATCCTTGTAATGGTGAAACCAAACTGATATTTACTAAATTTTCCTCCACATTTGCTTTCCTCAATCGGCAAATATACAGCTTTCTTTTGCAGTTTTAACAGCCCTCTGTGCCTCAGCAATGAAATATCATCCCGTTCTTCGATATTAATAGACTTCAAATGCGATTCGACGTTTCTTCAAGCGTGATGATTCTTCTGGCGGAGTGTTGAGCTACAAAAAGAGGGCCTATTTTAATTTAACTGTCTACGAAATAAATAAAGATTAAAATTAGCGCCAAAGTAATCTTTAAACAGCAGAAACCGCTATTAAAAGCCTTGTTTGTAAACTGACAACCGCTGGAATATTAACATACGGGATTCAATAGTTTCGGGATGAATACAGTGTTTGTTAGAAAACTGTTTGTGTGGTTATTTTGTGATCGCGGCAGTAGCCCTAGATTGTCAACTGTGATGGCGAACATTTTTGCCGAGTAGAGAGGGGTATGGGTCGGTGACAATTGAGCTATCTGGAGGGCTGGGGAGAGTTAAGGAGGGCTGAGTGCGGAGAGTTGAGGAAGGTTGAGTAGAGTTAAGGAAGGCTGAGAAGAGAAAAGGAGGGCAGAGGAGAGTTAAGGAGGGCTGAGGAGAGTTAAGGAGGGTTGGGTAGAGTAAAGGAGGGCTGAGTGCGGAGAGTTGAGGAAGGCTGAGAAGAGAAAAGGAGGGCAGAGGAGAGTTGAGGAGGGCTGAGGAGAGTTAAGGAGGGTTGGGTAGAGTAAAGGAGGGCTGAGGAGAGTTAACAAGGGCTGAGTGCGGAGAAATGAGGAAGGCTGAGAAGAGAAAAGGAGGGCAGAGGAGAATTAAGGAGGGCTGAGGAGAGTCAAGGAGGGATGGGTAGAGTAAAGGAGGGCTGAGGAGAGTTAAGAAGGGCTGAGTGCGGAGAGTTGAGAAGGGCTGAGAAGAGAAAAGGAAGGCAGAGGAGAGTTAAGGAGGGCTGAGGAGAGTTAAGGAGTGTTGGGTAGAGTAAAGGAGGGCTGAGGAGAGGGATGGGTAGAGTAAAGTAGTCTTTTTTATAGATCAGTGGTTAAGTAGGGCTGAGGAGAGTTAAGGAGGGAAAAAATGACAGGGACAAGACAATCCGGGGATAGGGTGAAACTAAGTAGGGAAAGAACACTGTAATGGCGTGAGAAAATGTAGAAATGAAAGCGGAGGAGCAGCTCAGCGGCGTTTTGGTCAATTCAGAGTGCTATAGATGACAGAAATGACCGCCTCCCCAGTTACAAGGGTAAACCTGTCTCCTGGAACAAAAAAGTGACAAAAACGTTTTATTTGGATGGAACACAGTACAGATGAAATTGTCGGTCGAGTCAGTTAGAAGTAAATTAACATTTAAGTCGACTGTTAACACAGGTTTCAATGAAAAACTCATGTTACTAGCAGTTGCTAACTTACGTCAAAAGAAACAATGAAATTGCATGAAATTGATGGACGGAAATGACATAATCAGCAACGCAGTAAATACCCATTTTGGTTAATGTTTATTCAATGTTTTCAACGGTTAGCATAGGTTTCGGACGGGAAACCTAGGTTACTAACAGTTACCTTCTTACATCAAAGTAAATTTCAAAGTGACGCAATCGGTGGATGTTATGACGCAGGTGGAAACTTAACAAATAAATATTTTGGTGGTCTTAGAAAAAGTAAACAAACTCTAGCAATGTATTCAACGGTAAACCCAGGTTACTAACAGTTACCTCCTGATATCAAAGTAAACGATTGAGCAAATTCATTGGTTAGAAATGACTCAATTGGCAACTCAAACAATTCACAACCATTGAATGATGACCGCTTTAAGCGTGAAACTTGAAGTAGCAGCTTAGAACCGTCCTGTTCTACACAACAAATACGTGTACAGCTCTGCCTATACGGAATAGAGCACTTTATGACAGACCGGTAAACTGTAATTTTCATTGGACAATATGCTTTGTACAAAAATAGCCTAGTAAAAAGCATACAAAATGCCTGATGATCGCTTTAAGCGTGAAATTTGGGGTAGCAGCTAAGAACCGTCCTGTTCCTTACACCAAATACGTGTACAGCTCTGCCTATACAGAATAGAGCACTTTATGACAGACCGGTAAACTGTAATTTTCATTGGACAATATGCTTTGTACACAAATAGCCTAGTAAAAAGCATGCAAAATGCCTGATGATCGCATTAAGCGTGAAACTTGGAGTAGCGGCTTAGAACCGCTCTGTTCTATACACCAAATACGTGTACAGCTCTGTCTATACAGCATCGGGCACTTTATGACAGAACGTTTAACTGTAAATTTTAAAAATTCCAAATCTATTGAGGATTAACAATGCTTTTAGACATAAACACCTTATTCACTTGACGGTACAGTTGAATAAAACCTGGACTTACCGAGTCATGAATTTACTCCTACAAAACTTCAAGAGAAACAATTTTCACTGTCTGCTCCTACTCGTGTATACGAGGTAGTGAGTTCTTTTAAAAGGATTTACAGCGAAGGTCAATTCTATATCGATGGGAGTGTAATTCATGGAATGGATTCCAAACGAGGTGGGAAACCTGGACCAAGAAAACATGGAATCAACCATCAGGTCAACTTGGAATTAACATATGCGAAGCTTTTTCTTATAAGATTCTGAGAATGCAATTTAGGAAAGGAGGATGGAACTATCAAGAAATTTTAAATGCTGGGAATGTAAAAGGAGATAGTACAGTGTTCCATAAATTACTTGATTGCGAAGAAAAACTTCTGTTCTTTGTCTATACTTTGGGCGTGTACATTTTAGGGGAGTATCTTTCATTTGATGCTACTTGGATTAGCTGATTCTCTAATCTGTCTTCTCGATTCTACAATCTTTCAAATCCGAGCTTCCAGGGCCTAGAATCCTTGAACATGATCTCAAATTCCAATGCTCCTTCTATCTAGGTCCAGGATTCCAAGATTCCGTGGAATCGATCGATCGTCCTATATTCAACCTAATATCTTTTTATCAAGATTAAATCATTGCACAGTATCGGCGAATGCAAACACAATAAGGATTAATGTGACATGGGCAAACGAAGCTTGTTCGACTATGTATAATCCTAGTCTAATCCAACGAACTCGTTTGAAGGATTAGCGCAAATACAAATCTAAGAAAAAATAACATGTATTATTGTTGTGATCTCGATGATAAAGAGTTGTAGTGCAAGGGTTAGTGACACATGATGTTTAGGCCTGTGAAAGGTATATGATTGTTATTAAGCTGTCAAAACTAATTGGATGAAGCCTCGATCTTTTCTAAACCAAGCAGATCGACTAAATGTACGCAGAAATGATAAGCTACCGTATTTATGAGTTTAATTGATTAAAAAGCATGTAGAAAGACATGCAGTGGCGTGACAAGGGCTGGGGCAGTTGTAACCAACATGTCCAGACGAGATCTTGTACTAAGGAGGGAGCTCAGGTCCATTTGCCACCCCACACCCCCTTTAAGTCACAGCCTTGTTATTGGTAACCTAATTCTGCTTCAACTCAAGTCTGGAAATGACGGGGTAGGTGGAGAATCTCCCAAATCCTAGTGAATGGGGGGAGGGGGAGTGGGGTCTGAACCATTATATCAATTATTATAAGATGAATCCACAGTCCAGTTAATGAATTAAGCAAATGGATCTTTTTAAAAGAACCAAGTAAATTTAATTTCAGGCTGACTGTTCTTAATTTTTTCAAAAATCTGAGGCTGGATTTTGCTTAATTTGTTTTTAAATAATAAGATGTAAGCAGTGTGATTGCTAGCTTTTCCGCTCTAGGGAGGTGTTCAGAACTCATTTGCCAACAAAGTGAGCGAGGCAACCCTCATTTGGCATCAAGTTTGAATATTCACCAAAGAGCACCCACACATTGCTAAAAATCCTCGATTTTGAGAAAAAACGTTGTTCAAAAGTGCACTTTACAGTAGATCAGCTTCAGCTTGTTCTTAGTTTATTCTTAACTTTTGATCAACTTTGTGGCTCGTGTTCTTATAAAAAAAGGTGAAAGGTGGGCAAGCAACCCTTTATTTAAGTCTGAAAATTTTTCGTCTCCCACCCCTTATGTGTACCATAGGCTCTAATCTCCTGACCAAGATTTTCAGATTATGTATGGCCCAGCCCGACACATTGATATATGCGACAGTGTCTCTTATATGAATGCCAGCACTTCAATGATGCAAACGCGGATTTCTATTGCATTAGCATCGAATTATGTGGTATTAAAAGGTATTGGTTGTCACATTCTCAATACCGGTGGCATGTCATGATTTAAGATGGTATTAATTTACAAAAGAAGGTATTAAAACTCATTATTAACGCAAAATCCAGCAAAGAATAAACTACTTTCAAACTATAGACTCGTTCGGTGATTCCATATTTCACAAATAGGCCCAGCAACAGACTGAGGCTTGAGGCACATTCGTGCGATGACGTCATTAAGAATATTGTAGCAACCAAGCCATAGGGACAGGGAAGCGAACAGAGTGACAGGAACCTTACCCTATGTACCAGTACCACAATAAACACGTAGCAGAGTCTTCCTTGTTCGCAGCTAAACGTTCCCCCGCTCCTACGCTTCTCTGCTACTATGCTTCCCCGCTCCTACGCTTCTCTTTCCTCCTACGCTTCTCTGCTCCTATGCTTCTCTTCTCCGCTCCTACGCTTCTCTGCTCCTACGCTTCTCCGCTTCTCCGCTCCTACGCTTCTCTGCTCCTATTCTTCTCCGCTCCTATATTCCTCCGTTCCTACGCCACTCCGCTCCTACACTTCTTCGCTCCTACACTCCCCTGGGGCAATTTACCACCCTTGCCCCCCTTTCGGCGGCAATGGAGACACGGACCCTATGTAACCAAGTGCTGACAAAGAAATGGGTTTTTCAGTTCGAAGCAGAGGATTGCCTACCCGTTGTCATCTTTTACTGCAAGTATGTAATACCTAAAAAATCTTGGACATTTCTCAGATGATCAGATACGTTTGTCTACGTCAGATTTCCAAATCAACAACTTGATTCTAATTTGACATCCGTCAGTGATTCGGAACAGATTCCAGGGAATAAAATCGATTTTCTACATTCCCACGATGGACAGGTGTACTTATTTGCATGAAAACTGGCAGGCCTCCGCGTTATACAGACAACTGTACTGAACTTGAATTCGCGTTATCGGACTCAAGACCGTCACTGGACATTGTGCTCGAGGGGGGGGGGGGGGATGATCTGCTCTCATTTGCTGACAAAGTTGATGAACCATCCTTTATTTGCCGACAAATCTTTATTTGCCACCCCCACACCCCCTTCAAATCACAGCCTTGTTATTGGTAACCTAATTCTGCTTAAACTCAAGTCTGGAAAAGACGGGGTAGGTGGAAAATATCCCAAATTCTAGTGAATGGTGGGAGGGGGTCTGAACCATTATATCAATTATTATAAGATGAATCCACAGTCCAGTTAATGAATAAAGCAAACCCCTAGGGACACGGGTAACCCACTCTTTTATGACTCTAGCATTTATATACTTGAACTGGGGGTACCCATGTGTATTTATGAAAGGGATGTTCAGGCTGGGGTACAAACCATCAACAATAAAAAACTCTAGGACAGAAATTGGCTCTAAAAATAATTTTTCTGGCCCTATACAAGTAGCTTTAATTTTTTCTCTAATTTTAAAATTACTCTCATATTTGAGACCCTAAAAACAGTTCAGATATACATGAAGCCAAAAAATTAATCGTACAGCTGACTGACCCAGAGAAATAGCCTTTGCTCACATTCTAGATTCAAAAAGTAACCTGGGTACTAAAAAGGACATATCCAAAAAATATCTAAGTAACCCCCTGGGAGGCTTGACTGCTGATGATTCATCCCTGTACTGTGATACTTTAGCCATGTTGAATAAGAAAAAAATTGCATAATTTTCAAAAAGTTTTTCATGAATGATAGCCCAAAATGAAAGATTGCACTTATAGGTGAAAAGTGACAATTGCCCAAATATAACCCAATAATCTGTTTTTAATAGACAGGTACACTGCCTTTAAAATAAACAGAGTTAAAAGTTATTTAGAAAAAATAGAAGGAAAATGATGGGCCAATTTCTAACTTTTTGTCATGACAATAGTGAACAGAAATGTATTGTAAATTATGTGCAGAAAAAATATCTGGACTGAATCAAAGAAGCAATGTTGATAAAGTTTGCGCTCACAGAAAGACAACGTTTAACGTTTGCACTATTTCCTCCAGTCCCATGTTGATATCTTTACTAAAAGGATATTAAGTTCCCAAAATTTCAACATGGAATACGAGGGTCATATTATGATTCTATTCAGAGATTTAGAGATTCTATTTCAAAACAGGGATATTTTTGTCAATATAGAGGAGTTTCATCAGCAAATTTTTGAACTTGTTGGCAAATGAAACATTACTCATCCACTTGTTCAGCAAATAGGATCTCTCGGACATTAGCAATGATACTGCTAGTGGAAGCCCTAGAGGAAATTGTCCTGCATATGCGTTATGAGGCATGACTTTTGAAGATAACTTAATTAATTATTTCCCTCACAAAGTACAACCCTAGAAGATTGAGTGTGCAAAAAAAATACAGGGTATGATATTTTAAAATGGTACAATGGTATCATGAGTTGGTTTAAATATCACATACACATACAAAGGGGGCACTTGTCTACTGTTTCAAACAAAGACATAAAAACAGGACTGGAAGGGTAACCAGCCCCCTTCTCCTGTTGATATGATAAGAAAGTTCTGTCTCTACCCCCTTCACACTGACAGTTATCATCCGCTAATGAACTGGGGAGAGAGTGGTCTTATTTTGTGTCTTAATGATAAAGGGGCTACCCAGGAATGCAGTGCAAAGAAGCAGGAGGCATTCCAAAAATGGATCACAAAAAATAGATCACTGTTGGCATTCACAAAACATGATACCACCTGGGCCCCCTCACTCTATTACTGATGCCTTTTTACCCATTTACTCATACCTTTTATTTGACACCAAAAATCTTATTATTTCTGAAGAGTTTCTTAAACATGGTGTCACTAATTCTCACATTGGGTTCCTATATTTATTTGTTCATGCTAAGAAATTTCCCTTCAAAACCTTGCTCAGGAGGGGTTTTGGAGCAGCAAACAACGAGCCTCTTCAATGCTTCTATTGTTTCAAATGATTGTGACATATTTGTCAAGAGATTTGCTTCTGTTCTAAAACTGTACTCAGATCAGGGAAGTGTGTTTGTCTCCTTTGTTTCATGTTTATTGGTTTTATGATACTTCAGAGTTCTGGACTTTTTCAAAATCAAACTGCTTTTTAATTCTTTTGCTCTGAAAAGTGAAGTTACTAATCTTTATGATTGCTCAGTACTTGCTTCTTATTTTTTTGTTTTTTTTATTTAGGTACATGTATAGAGACATCCCTTAACCCTTAACCTAATTAAAATTTTTTTCTACTAATGTATCTATGATAATTATATACAAAATTTAACAAAACTTGAAATTATATTAAAACACTGATTACAAATCAAGGCTGAGTTACCACATTTATACAGGGCCATGACACCCCCCCCTCCCCCAACCGACACTTTTCTTGCTAACTATAGGTATCAAATCCCCCTTTTAGGTATTAAATAGGTAACCCCCTGTTTGCCCCCCCCCCCACTCTAGAATCGGTTATATAAACTAATCAACGTTTTGGTTAAAAACACATTGTAGCCAGTGGCGTCGCGTGACCATTCTCGCTTGTAAGAGATGCAAAACCATATTTTACCGACAGAAATTCTTTTGTTACATTAATATTTTTTTATAAATTTAATTCTACCGACGAGTTCTTTGAAAGTTGGAGGGTGTACACCCACCACCCCCCGCACGCTACACCCCTGTGTATAGCTGTTCGCCAGTGTTTATCTAAAATACCTTGAATTGCCATTTTGAAGCCTCAATGATCAACACTCATTAGGTGAGAAACACTACATGATGAGGAGAATACAAACAATCCTAGATGGTGCTGTATTCAAATTTCTTTTTAAAACCTGCCCAATGTCTGTTTGTAATCTCACACTACCCGTTTCCTCTTGAGTACAAAGTTAAACCGATTGTTTGCAAGGCGCCATTATCACCTTTGCTTATCACAGAATAAAACTTTGGCGTGATAACAAATTTAGAATTTTACAATAGGTTGTCGGAAAGGCGTGTAAATATTTTATTCAAGTCCTGAATAAAAGGGTTTCCTTTTACGTAAAATTCGATTGATCAAGGTCAAAATGCGATAATTAAATCTCGTGATATCCGAAAACTGGGCATAAATGATATTTGTGGACAATGAATTCAAAACATGTAAATTGGACTCAAAGTTATAAACAATTCTAAAGGTGAAAGTGTTTGGGAAAAACTTTTCGTTGAGTTTTGAATCAATCTTTATTGATTAGTTTTTTGTCAACTTCTCAGATGAGGCAAATTATTACATGTTTGGAAATATGGCGCGGAAAGAAACCTATTTCTGCTCTCTGACGAAATGTTGAGAAAATAAACAACACCCATGTTAACGAAACGATTTTATATTCAAGCCTTTAAAAGATTTAAATTGCGAAACTGCTAGCAAATAACTGGGTGATACAAATCCTTCAATGTCGTTTCTTTCACTCTTTATGTGTATCATTGTGTTATTTATTATAAATCTATAGTTTCTTCTGATGTAAATTGTTTAATATTAGAGTGAAAGAAACGTAA